CCCCCCCCCCCAAAAATGGCAAACACAAATAAATAAATCAACCCAGCAGAGACACAGGACCTCCACATGGCAAACCATTGTGTAAAGCAGCGATTTTCAACCTTTTTCATCTCGTGGCACACATAAACTAATTACTAAAATTCTGTGGGACACTGAAAAATACATTTTTTGTGGATCTGACAAAAAAAATAGTATGATTTTGATTCATTCACACTAAACAGCTATTGTGTTGGCTGTTGTCATTTTTTTATTTTACAATCTAAGGTAAAAGAGGTCAGTGCCCCTGACTAAATAGTCAGGTGGTGCATGTTTTAAAAATTCTTTGCAGCAGTGGAAAAATCACTGATATAAAGTAACATAATGCACTAATCAATCAGCTCAAGAAAATGGAAACACTCTTCCTATATCTATAGCACCTTAACACTTGGGGATTGGGTTTGAACAACAGAGAAAAAGGTGGGTGGTGGGAAAAGAGCAAAGAAGAGAGGAGGGAGGGGGAAAGAAGAATATTGTGCTTGCAGGCAGGGCAAAAATGAAAGCTTGGGGGGAAAGGCAGATATTGAAAATAATTTTCCTATAGTGATTATCCTGTACTAGTCCATTCATGAAATAGCCTTTTGGTCCTCACAGGAGGCATTATTGTACCCATTTTACAGATGAGGGCAGTGAGGGTCAGAGAGATCAATCTCCATGCCTATTGTTACATATTTAGAAGGTGGTAGAGTTGTTATTTGAACCAAACACTGACTCTAAAAACCACTGTTTATTCCATCACTATACATTAGTGGGGAAATAAACAACACTAGAGAGCATACAGTTCTCTACTCCTTCCTTTAAAGATACAAAAGGTCATCAAATTAAAAGTTCTCAAAATAAAAGTTCTCTTTTATCATCTCTCCCTCTCCTCCCAAAAATCATAAGACTGTTTAAGGTTTCAATTAAACTTAAGACTGTTAGGATTCCAATTCAATCGTGTGGCATAGAGCAAGGGTAAGTTTCAATTGTATTACTATTTTTAGATACATTTCTGCAGCACACCTAATGTTTCCTAACTTTGTGCAGTGAAGAGTTTATTCTGGGAGGCATACCGTCTTTTTTGTCCAAGGTTAATTTTATTCTTTATAAAAAGTATCTTTCATAAAACAGTAAAAATGACAACCTTCAGTCTTTGTGAAACCACACTCACCATCACCATTGCTCTGTCAATAGCAGACTCGGGCCCAAAACCAGCCACTCCAATATCCATGTTAACATCAGCCCCTGATCTGAAGGTCACCCCATTTCCAGTGTCAGAGGATTTGACAAGACTGCTTAAGCTGAAAAGAAGTCATCGAAACAGTGTTGCTGTTTTTTGTAACCACCTTCTGCAATAGTAATACCCTTTCCTCCACACTGAGAAGTCTTACTGAAAGAAAATGCCGGGTTCCCACTCAGAATTTACACGTCAAATATGCTAGTGAGTTCCCTTAGCTGCCTGGAAGTGTTGAAGCTTGGATCTAAGAGAGGGCCAGCCTGACGCTCACGGGAGTAGAGCCTGGCCCATCACACGGCCTGTTCTCCAGCCCGTTTAACCTGAGAGCCCACCAGTAGGCACAGCCACTTGGATGATAAAACGTGATTCGCATTCAGGCTTCAAAGAAGCACTTAATTACGAAGTTGTGATGTGAAATGACTGCTTTAAGTTCACTACTTTCTGTTTCTGCTTTTTTAACTTAAAAAACAAAAAACTAAGTTCGTTGTTTTCACATGGTCACATCACACAGGCTTCTAAAATCAGTGTTCCACGTAACGAAACTGACCTTGGCAGCTTGGGCAGAGAGGGCAGAAGGGAGCCAGTTTTCCTGTAGTGGAAAAATCCTAATGTTGCCAGAGCTCCAATTATGATGATCAGGATGACTGTCAACAGCACGGCCATTGCTGCCATCGAGGAGGGAAGAAGAGACGAACATATTGAGAAGAGCCAGTGTTTTGTGTGTTGGGTGTCTTTGTTGTTGTTTTGGAGACGAGGTCTCACTATGTTGCCCAGGCTGGAGGGCAGCGGCTATTCACAGGCGCGATCCCACTACTGATCAGCACGGGAGTTTTGACCTGCTCCATTTCTGACCTGGGCCGGTTCACCCCTCCTTAGGCAACCGGGTGGTCCCCTGCTCCCAGGAGGTCACCAATGTTGATGCCAAACTTAGTGCGGACACCCAATCGGCATAGCAAACAACAGCCCAGAACTCCTGGACTCCAGCGATCCTCCAGCCTCAGCCTCCCAAGTAGCTGGGACCATAGGCACGAGCCACCGCACCCGGGGAGAGGAGCCAGTCTTAGCTCTAGTAGCTGGGGACTGGAACCGTTCATTCTTCAAAGACTGGGTCACACAGAATATAAACAGCACTCGATTTAGGAACTGTGAAGTACGTCCAGATGACTCATATTCTTAAAACTTACTTGTTCCTGGAGGAATGCCTTTCGAAAGCCCTATTTCACAGTAATTTCCCATGTAGCCACTGGGACACCTGAAAGTAAAAGAAGAATTGTTCACAAAGTGTTGCCTTCTTAGGCATCTATTGTAATTTTATAAGCACATCTTGAGGTAGAAGTGTGGCTGAGTAAATTATGTGTTGAACAGACAATGTATCCTGCATGACTTTTGTTTACTCTGCGCAGAGGTGAGGAGCAGAATGAACACTAATCCGACTTTGGAAATTCACTTTCAACGGAATAGCTGTGGCACCTGCAAGGTCAACCTCATCAAATAAACCTACTGGTGTCTTCTCTAATCCACGGAATTTTTTTTCTTTAAGAGTAAAAATGGAAACCATGATTGCACTCTTTCCTTTGATGTGCTTTCATTAAATATTCTTTAAAGACCTCTATCATGTTCTGTGTTAGAGCTTTCTCAGTAATTCTCTCCTTCCCAAGTCCTGAGCTCAGTCTCTGCTCATCGTGTGCCTTGTCTTGAAACAGCTCTGCCGGCAGCCGCTCTCGCACAATCCAGTTGTAATCATCAAGACCAGGTGAGTAGGAAAATGTGCTAGTTGTCATTTCTCTACTCCTCGATCCCCCAAAGTATGGTCCACAATTCTGCGGTACCTCCTGGGAGCTTGTTAGAAATGCAGAATTCCCATGAGTAAAGTAAGATGGGCATTTGGTCCAGATCTCAGGTGGTTCTTACGGGTGGTACAGTTTGAGAAGCACTGCATTAGTTCTCTGTGGATTCCCCCAGGGAGGGCACGCTGGTTAAGATGGGACAGTTAAGATGGGACGTGACTCAGGGGTTGAGCATTGACCTAGGATCCAAGAGATCGAGGTTCGATTCCCAGTTGGGGCACATGCCCAGGTTGCGGGCTCAATGCCCAGTCAGGGGTGTGCAGGAGGCAGCCAATCAATGAAGACTCTCTCATCATTGATGTTTCTCTCTCTCTTCCTCTCTCTGAAATCAATAAAGGTATATTTTTTTAAAAAAAGATGGGACAATTAGTGAACTGGCAAGGTTCCTGTCCTTGTTTCTCTGGCTACTTTAAGGTCTTGAATTCCCTCAGAAAAGGCAAATCCTACAGCTCGGAGCTCAGCATTCAGACTTACTTGCATTTGGGGAGATCATTCTCATCAAAATAGCAATTTCCTCCGTGCATACACCTGCATGGGGGGGGCATGACCATAGCATTTTCCACAGCTGCAGAAAGGGAAAGCCATGCACGTGTTAGTGAGCCATACTCAGCAGAGCACCCACACCATGCAAACCTGCTTCCAGCCCAGGGTCAGAGGGTGGGGTCAGGGGGTTGGGGGCAGGGCAGCTAGTTAGTCTTCCTATCAAAATGTTACCTTTCCCTTAAGTCAGATAAATTTCCTTATCAATAATAAAGTCTTGGAGAGTAACATATTTGGTGAAAAGAAAGGGGCAATGTATATAATTTCCCCCCCAAAACAGTGGAGAGATACTAGACTCCAGAACATACATCAATAGTTCAAAGAAATGGTAGTCAAGAAATCTCTTAGGACATTCCCTTCTCATTTGAAGTGTTCAGAATTCTCTTCTGTGAACCCCATTAAAATCAAGACTTCAATTAGACACACTTCCAAACTTCAACTAAAGGCTTCAAATCATCCGTGAACCATCAATCAATGAACAGACAGATACATAGATACAGACATGGAGATGCTTCACAGACAGCTGGTTAGAAATCTTATTTTTCAAGTCTTCCAAAATTGCCCTTACTCTGGGTCCCTGCTCCAGCTCAGGCCCTACGTACTCCCTGGACATGCCTGATAGGTCATTGGTATTTCCTTGTCTTACACCTAGAAGATATTCAATGAGTATTTACCACCTGTATGTTTATTTAAGTTTGAATACCCTTCTGGTACAGTCCCTCAATTTGAATTTCTACTCAGAGTTCCCTTCATTAGAGAGGCCTTCCCGGAGCTCTCTATCCCATTCCTACCACACCCTCATCCTTCTTACCCTGCTTTAGTTTTCTCCTTTCGCTTTTACCACCTGACATCATATATTTATTGGGTTCTCTTCTTATTGTCCTATTAGAATATAAACTCAACAAGAGCAGGGGATTTGTCTGTTTTGTTCACTATCTCCAGCCCTTAGAACAGTGCTTAGCACATAGTAGGTACTCAGTAAGTACTTATCAAATAAATTGATTGATATACCCAACCAAGACCCCATATGGAATGACTACCATCATTAATGTGCTTATTTTAGTTCAAGTTCTTTTAAACGAGAATCTAAATATAATCCACTTAGCAAAACATGTAAATGAGCAAAGTAATAGATGAGGTAACAACCTGGACAAGATCTCTCCTTCAATGTGAGATTGTAATAGTGTCAGAACAATCCATCTACAGCATAGATCAAATCTCAAAAGGTTTAAATTGTCACTTTGTTCAAAATATTGCTAAATATTGTAATCTTGCCAATATTTCCCCAGTAGCACTGGGACAAGAGTGGAGATAGGGGAAGGGAGGCAGAGGAAAGCAGTTTCTTCACCTTGAGTTCATTCTATAAACCTGCCAACTTTTCAGCCTGGTTGGGAACAGTCAAAAGATAGTGCCTTGTTTAACAGCTTTCTCCCCCTGGTGGTAGAAGGTAGTTAAGCCTCTTCATTTCCCCATTGGTTAAAACTGGGGGGGAGGGGGGAGCCATAAAATGGGCCACGTGAAGAGCGGGATGATTTTTTTTAACATACTTAAGTATTGAATACTAGTTATGACTAATTAGCGTCTTAATTTAAGAATCATTGAAGAAATGTCTTGACATGCATAGATCATCCATAGCATTTCTTATTCTAGCCTCCATCTCCCAACAGCACAGGTACATTTTAAAATATAGTTCTTTGTACTTGTCACTCTTTGAAATGAGTATATGAGGAAAACAGCAAACATCCTCTAGCCCTCCCCTCAGTACTCTGTAAGGCCCCCCACCTCAAGAACCTGGTCCTCCACCTGAAGGAATCCAGGTAAAGCTGAATGGATTCAGGGGTGGAAAAAGCAAAAGGAAGCCTTATAGAAAATTCAGTTTCCAAAATGTCTTTGCAAAACAACACAACTGTAGATTTAGGGGTACTGAATCTATCTCTACAGATCTTAGCAAATAATTCTCAGAAATTATCGGAACACCTTAGATCCCACTCTGTTCATATTTCCTCCATCTCTCATCCTTCCTTCTAGCCACCCCCTTTCCATTCTGCAAAAAACCCAGTACACAGGATTCTTCTGGCTCCTGAAGGAGGTGAAGCAGGAACAGGGAGCCTACTAAAAAAAGCAGAGCAGCTCTCCCAGGCCCCTGAGGCTGTCCAGGCAGCACCCCTACCTGCATTACACTCAGTCATGCTCCCCTCCAAGAAGGTGGAGCCTTGGGGACAGGCACAGCTGTATCCTTCGGGTCTCAGGAGGCAGAGATGGCTGCAGACATTTTTACAGCGGTTGGGCACTGGAAAGCAGATGAGAACAGCGATTAGGTTCTGGGGAGGAAATAAATACCCCAACCAAGGTCATGCCCATCAACTGAGTTGTGGCCCTGACAGGTGACATCCCAGCACTTCTAGGCTATGTGAGACCTGACTACTCACCCTCATTTACACTACCAACCCCTGTCACCCCACCAAAGTGGCATAGTCCCTCTCTGTGCCCTCCACCCCGCTTCTGCACCACTCACATCTATTGGCATTGCTATCTCCTCTGTTGCCCAGGTAGATTTGACAGATGTGTGTCTGATCACTGCAAGACCTCAAAAACTAATCAGCGCTAAGCAATTTGAGATAGTTCAAAAGACTACTGAGACTCCATTATTATAGCAAGATTTGTCATTACCCACAATTGGGGAAGTCAGAACACGTGGCCCATCCAAAGTATATACTGGGTGTGATGTCCACCCTTACCCTCCAAGAACTTCCTTCTGGGCTTCAGTTTCCTTATTTGTAAGACAAAGGGATTTCGAGCTGTGATATCAGAATCAACTGGGAGCTATTCACAAGGATGGATGCCCAGTCACAGGAATTCATATTTAAATTGGTCTAGGTTAGAGCTCCATTACTACCATTAACAGTTCCTCACATAATTAGAGTTGTCTGAATTCTACCTTAACATATATTATGACTCATCCAAGGATTAGATGATCTCTAAATTCCTTCTCACACTGACATTCTGTGATCCTAATTCTCAGTCACCCAAAATGTAAATGTAGACAAGGCATGACAAGAAATAAAAAGGCATATTCCAAAAGCCTCACTCAGAACCTATCCCATTACCATTTCTTCAGCTCTCTGGAGCAGAGCTTTTCAAACTTTAATGTAACACAAATCGCCTGCAGCATCTGATTCCAAAAGGTTGCGGCAGGGCCTGAATTCTGCATTTCTAACCAGCTCCCACCACAGGATACCAATGCTACTGGCCCATGGCCCACACTAAGAGTAGGGCCTGGAGCAGGGATTCTCAAAACAAGGTCCCAGAACCAGCAACATTAGCATCATTTGGGAACTTGTTAGAAATGCAAACTTCTCAGGCCACCTCAGGAATATTAAATCAGAAACCCCTCCGGTGGGGCACAACAGTGTGTTCAACAAGCTTCCTGGATGATTCTGATGCTCGCCAAAATGGGAGAACTATAGGTCCGGAGTAAATCTAATCTGGCCCAGCCAGGCTGGGCCTCTGGTTTACACAGCACTCAGCATTTTCCAAAAGGGTCCCAGAGCCTGAGCTGACTGTGATGTGTTTCCTTCAGGGGAAGTCTCCAGACTTTCCTCTGCCTGACTCCTGGGCAGCCATCTCCACAGGGGCCAGGGGGGCTCGCCAGGTATACTGTGCTCTTCCCCTCTGCCTTTAAAGCTGTCCGGTGTGAGAGCCGCAGGAGTATTTAGGACAGGAGAGCGGGGTGTTTGGGAGAAGGGCTGGAGAACTGGCAATCACTGTCAGCAACACAGGGCAGTTAATCCTTAGAGAAAGCATTTGCCACCAGTGTCATCTCCTGGTGAGGCTCATCTCTGAGTTCTAATTTGCTAAGGCTGATTCAGGGTATCTCAGAGTATCGGTGATATTAAGGGGACCTCGGGCCCCATCTTTGTTTCACATACAGGGATGTGAAAGGAGATGACTTATCAAAGATCATCCAGCCACAGAATTCAACCTGGATCTAGGTACACTGATCACAGCTTGAAAGGAAAGGTGCTGAGCTCTGGGTTCAGTGGAATTGAATTTAAAGATCATTTCTAAGTTTAAAATGCATCTGTTGGTTGTGTAACTCGGGCATATGAGAACTGAATCTCTCCTATCCTCAGTTTCATTATATGTGACATGATAAAACCTCTTTACATACAGTTTTGGAAAAGACTAATTGAAGTGACAGATGTCTGGGTTATCACTGAGGAGAGAATCTGACAATTAGAACTTAAAAGCCTATTTCCTTTCCTCACTTCAAAAATGTCCCTTCCCTTTCAGATTGCTCCTTGCAATGAATTGGAAGGCAGGTAACCTCAGGAAGCAGGATCTGGAACAAAGAAAATGAGAAAAGGGGGAGGGGTGGAAAGGCACCTGACTTAGTCTAAGGCTTGCACATCTCAGGATAACTTGACTAGCCTGGCTGCAGCAGTGGGTAAAACTGATGATGTCCAGGAAACCCACTCTGTGACTTGTTAACCCTACTCACACTTAGCAGGGGTCTGATGCCTGCTGGATTCTATGGCCTCCAAACAGCAGGGACTGAAATATTTTTCCTTCATATTTGCTGGTGATATATATAATTCACCCAACCTCCAATTAAAACACACACACACCCCTTTCATTCACCAAGAGATCAGCCTACTATAATCTGCTACCAATTTTCAACACTATAGCTATTAATTTGAAGTAATGAGGAACATCGTATTCCAAGGTGAGTGATTACCTGACTGATTGTATCTATGTTGATGAAGGACTCGAACTTGAGTGAGCCAAGGGCTCACAGTCAGCCTCCTTTCTTTCTCCTCGTGCCCAAATTTATCTTGTGTCCACACTTCTCCCTTATCCTTAGCTACCCAGTATAACCGGCCTTCAAAGATGTCGAGGCTGTAGGGATCCACAGCTGCTTACCCACAGGGGAAATACAAAACAAAACCAGGTTATCAAAGAGAACACCCTAACCCCACCTCTATGTCAGACTCCATTCTGCATGAATTAATCACTAATACAATGCTTGAAAATTCTGGAAATTCAGGCAGAATTTCTGTACATGAGACTGCAGAAGTGTGCTGATCTGGGAGATCAAGATAATAAAAATTACCAGATTAATGCCCACTGGCTCACACCAATGATAGGGGACTTGCTCACTTTCAAGTTGCTGATTTTTTTTTACTTTCGGAAAACAATTAGTATGGCAGAGATTTTTTGATTTTTTAATTATTTTTTTTTTCACATAAGACACTGCCTCTCAGGAAAACCTGGTATGTGCCGGATTGTTGCAGTTCGGCAGAGTCTGGCTAAGAAAACAAAATGTTTGTCTCCTAGATGTTCCCAGTTGTGCCTAATAAATAATTCAGCACATTATGAACAAATGTGTCTAGAAGTAGTCAGACACAGATTACCACTGGTACACAGGAATGCCACCTCTATCAGGGCAACCCAACACGAAACTCATTTATATTAATATCTGCTACTGACAGCAATTTCTAAATGATGTAAAAAGAACAAAAGGGACTTAATTGTTGCTAAGGAGTTCAATCACATTTAAATCAGTAGCTGAGAGTTGGGGAGAGTGGTATTTAAGAAACAATATAAACCTTATTTTAAAATCAGGGTTCCTTTTGGAGAAAATGGGCAAAGAGACTGGAAATATATTAATTGGTTATTGAACATATTAAAGTCTAACTCATTTCTAACCTGCACTGGCAACAATTCTTCTATCAGTCCCATCGTATCTTATGGTTTCAATCGTTTTCTCCTTGAAGTCGCTCCAGTAGATCCGGTCATTGTTCAAGTAATCTATAGAAAGGCCGGTTGGCCAACCAAGGTCCTCGCGAACCAGGATGTTCCGATGCTGCCCATCCATCCAAGCTGACTCGATTTTTGGTTCTTTGCCCCAGTCCGTCCAGTACATAAGCCTGTAACAGAAGGTCTCCTCATTGTAGCATTTCATCTGGTGAGGCTGCTCCCCTGAAGTGAAGCATGGGCTCCCCACAGGAAAATCAACTGTGTTTCTTAGAGGCCTGGGTGCTAAGTGATGAATACTTTTACACTTTACTTTAGAAGACAGAGAGAAAAGGGGCAGCCAGGGTATCTGTAATCTCTCCTTCCTGAAAACCCACCTCCTCGATAGAAACCGGACAGCCCTGCCCAAGGATATACATACACTTAAATCCTTTAAAATATATACGTAATTACAAAAGCTGTTCCTTCTTCAGAAAATATATATTGAATGCCTACTCTTTGAGAGGCACTGTTCTGTGTTTGGGCTGTATCAGAGGCCAAAACAAGGATTCCCACCCTCAGGGAGCTTAAGTTCTAACTCTTCTAAAGGGTATTAATTTGCATCCAATTAAGACTTAATTATAAAAGAATTGAGTAGACCAGGGATTGTGCCACATCAAACACCTAGAAAGGATCAGGCAGGCAAGATAAATGAGTGGAGCAGAGCAGTTGTAAACATCAAGTGAAGGGCAGAACAAGGCCGGGTCTAACAGTTCCAGGCAACACTTCGTCAAGGAAGGCACACCCACCTCGCATTATCAGTTCTTCTGAGTTTTCAAGCACCAAATGCAGATTTCTAAAACTTTTTTTAAATGTAAGAAACTAAGTAAAAAAATATTTTAAGCTCTGTTAGTTCAAGTCAAATGTGCCTATGGACCATGTTAGCCCACCAGCCACCACTTTGCAGCCTCTGGACTAAACCAATCATCATATCAGTCCAATCCTTAAATTCTATTGAGGAATGTGTGGAGTTCATTAAACTGGGCTCTGGGGAGGGGGGGCGGAATTGTGGCCAGATGCCTTCCCCTTACACAGCATCCATCTGAAGCCCAGTTGGTCCTAAATGATCTTTAGGACATATTATAATTCTTGAAAATAGTCATTGATGCCACTCCAAATAAGTCCAAGAACAATTTCAGTACAATTAGGAAAAAATAATAAAATACACATAATATTTTGAGAATCCAAGTAGAAAATATCCAGAACATTAAAGACTCCTTCAAGTACTTACCCGAGTTTGGGATTCACAACCACTGCAGCTGGTTGATCCAGTTGGGTGGTAATCAGCCACTTTCTGTACCTTCCGTCAAGTTTAGCCACCTCAATCCGTTGACTCCTGGCATCTGACCAGTAAATATGCCTGAATTTAGAGGGACACCGTTAAACAACCGAAAAGTCTAAACTGGTCACTTCTGGGGAGGAGAGTTGAAGGTGAGAGCATTTAGTTTGGAAGTTCCAGCTGGCAAAACAGCTACTCAGATGCTAGTGACCTGAGCATAGTCTCCCCCTCTGGATTGCCAAGGGGACATCTGTGGAAGGTTACAAGTGAAGAAGGGAGGGAAAGAGGGAACTCCTGCCTGATCAGCCAAAGCAGCTGAATCAGTCAGGATCAAATAATGGTAGACCTCACATCTGACATCTTTATGAGACATGTACTTCCATCCTTATGAAACATGTCTTAAGCACTTTGGGGCCAGCCTTTGATTCTGATCGTGCATGAGTCAGCTTTCTCCTCAGCCAAGAGCCCCATTGGAATCAATCAGAATCTGGCACTAGTTCAAGGATGAGTGAAAATAGCCTTTCAAAATAACAAACTCCGCCGGCCCATTCTGCCTTTCTTCCATCCCCAAGACTGCAGGCTTCAGTTTCTCACAGGCAGAAAGATTTCCATCCATTTCTTAACGTACTCATTCATTAAGGCTGAGAAAGAGGTAAAACTTCAAACTGGAAGATAGATCTGGCATTGCCTGCTTGGTTTTCGGGAGGAAATGTTAAAGTCAAGAGTTTGAAGTTCCTAATTCTCTAAGGCCTTGCTTCTTGGCAGAAAATGCTACACTGGGTCTCTCCTGTTCGCCTGCAGGTATAGTGAGGACCTAATTAACTTCTTCAGAGATGTTCAAGTCTTCCAGGAACAACAGACAAGTTGTTTAAAGGTAAAAATGTATTAATATGGCAAATGACTCTCCATTCTCCTGGAGGGCAGCAAGCCCAAGCCTCCTCTCTCAAACATTTTCCCATGTTAGTTCACTTTCAAGGACATAGGGTTTTCTATGAATGCTTGTTCTCTGATTCTAATGTTACCACTTTGCCACAAATGTCACTCCAGTGCAAGGCTCTTCCAGGAAGAAGGAACTTATTGACTTTTCCATATCAGTTTGCACTTTATGCATCTACCTTATGATAAACCTACTTGGAGTGTCTTACTTAGAGGTTATCCAAAATGTATGGCTCTGCTTCCTGGGCTTTTAGAAAATCTAAAAGAGGACAATGGAACCAACACCTCTATTAACAAAAAACCCAAAGATTAAACAGTAAAGTCAAATCTCCAATTGTTCGGGCAACATAGCCTTCTAAAAACACAAGGTATGGATTGTTCTTCCCTGAAATAATTACCATGGAGAAAAACATTTCATTTCAACTGCTTTGCTGGGAGAATAGCGAGGCTGTCCCATTTCTTCACAAAATGAAGTGCCACCATACTAAAAGTTAATTTAGGGGTCCAGAACTTTGTTAGCAAGAATGCTCTCCTAGATATAAATATAGAATCTTCACCTTTGTTCTTTCCAAAACTCTTTCATGACACATATAGAATAAAGGAAATGGTAAAATTTGTAGGACACACTGGGATAAGCAGAGGTGGTTGCTGGGGCTAGAGCAAGCTCAGGCATTACCCAGCTGTACCAGTGGCTGAGAGTACCCATATCCAGGTTCAGATTAACTCATGTGCCCAGGAGAGCAGGAAGGAGCTCTGGTCAGGTAAACATGATAGGCAAGAGGGGAATGTATGCTAAACTTACCTTCCAACCCAGTCCACTGCTAATCCATCTGGCTGCATTATGTATTTCAGGCCCAGGTTAATCACCTGCACATGGTTATTGCTGCCAGATTCAAAGTTGGGGATGTAGGCACGTTTGATAGCACCAAAATTAGAACCATACCCTAGCACAGTGTAATATATGACACCTGCAGAGGCAAGACACACATGTCACTTTCATATTAAGAAAAATGAAGCATTTTTCTTAATATGAGGAACTGGGGTCTAATTAGGTAAAGTACTATTCATTTATTGACACCTATACCTCCTCATTGTTCCTATAATAGTAACAATTCAGTTACACCAGTATAATCAAACCTCAAAACCTCTCATACTTGAAGAGCTATTAGCCACACATGCTTCAACTGATAACACTGATACATACTTAGTCCTCTCTATTTAAAGGTAGTTCATTAAAATATATTTCAACCAAGAGCCCATTCGCTCTCATTAAGATCAAGTTCTAGTTTCCAAAATAGAATATATAGATAAACCAGAGGGAGGCTGTTGAGAGGTTACAATCATACTCAGTAACAGTGACAATAAAGGAGCCATGCAGATATGAAGTCTTATTGTTTTATGCACAGACTAAAAGATAGTGGACAGCAGGCATTTTAAAGGCATAGGAAGATTGTGACTTTTAAGGCATATACTTTCCTAGGTATATACTATTCTTAAAAAGCTTATTGTATTGCATTACTGTGTGAAAACACAGTAATAAATCTTACATTGCCTAGTTATCAATAGTTTGCAAAGCATTTTCACATATATGGTCTCATTTGATCTTCAGAACAACTCTCAGAGGCAGACAGGCAGAACAAGATTTCTGCTCTACTTTATAGATAAGAAGTGGTGATCCAGGGAATTGTTACAATTATTTGAGGTCATAAAGCTAGGAGGTGAGGGAGACAGACATAAAAGACAAGTTTTTTGACTCCTGCCCCATGACCATCTCCACAGAAACATGAGAGGCTCAACATAAGCATTATTCAATTTTTCACTCATTAAACTAAATATTTTGAGCACCCACCACATACACTGTACTGGTGTTGGGTCAGGTGCTAGGCATGTAGACATGAATTAGGCTCAATCTCTGGTTTCAAAGAGCATATGGTTAAGGGGTTTCAAGAAAAATATGTGGACAAATAACTGTAACTCAACATAGCACGTGCTTTAGGAAAAGCATGTATAAAATGTTACCGGCTCTTAGGTGACCAATCAGAAAACTATGCCAGGGGGAATTATAGGAGATGTCACAGAGGAGGTGATATCTGAACTGGGTCTTTGAAGTTTCAGTAGAAATCTCCCAAGTGTACAACAGCGGGGAAGGACAAGATATGCCTGAGCAAAGACAAGGAGATATTAAACAAAGAGCTATGAAGTGGCCCTGAAAGGATAATCCCCAAGGATGGGAAAAGGTTTGGTGAGAAGCTGGGGAAGGTTGGCTGGGACTCACAGCCATGCTAGGGTGTCTGGAGCAAACTGCATAGAAGGAGTTTCCAATTCCACTCATGCAACAAAATACACTCATTAAAAAATAAATTCCCCAAAGCTCAATACCTTATAAGTCAGTTCCATTAATATCAATGACAGATGCCAAAGTTCATACTCACTGAGACCTATGCCCTCAGGATCCCAGTCATAGTCAACAGCCTGAATACGTTCCTGTTCTTCAAGATAATCTGCGTACTTCTCAGATGAGAGATTATATTTTCGAATCCGCACATTTTCAGGAAGTAGCAACAAAGGAGGGTTACCTATAAACAAATGAAGGGCTGCTTTAGCTGTGTGATTTCTACCTGGATTTTTTTTTTTTAATGGATATAAAATAGCAGGTAGCCTCCCCCCTTTAAAAAAAACCATGAGTTTTTATAGGAATCTGACTCTCTCTGCTAATCAAGTTGGATAGAGCTGTCTATCCAACTAGGTTGCAAAATCCATGACTGTGGACATTCTTATCTCCATTCAGGTGGAAAGCTAACGTTTCTGTTAGGGACATTATCAGTTCTTTATTCTTTGTCCACAGTGGACAACAGTTTAGAGCAAGGGAAGACTGAGACCCTCTAGGAAGTGTCCTCTTTTCCACTGATTTTTTTTCTTCACTTGCTGACAATAAAACATACAAGATTGTAGGCATTCAGTGTCACAGAAGAAATACTATATATATAGTCTTTACTGAAAGTTTACCAGGAAGTCCTCACTCCTAACTCTTTACTGACAGATTTTATGATTCTTTTAAAAGGTAATTGGCTCCATGACTCAATTTAGCTTCTAGCTAATGACAAAAAAACAGCTAGTTCTTGACTTAAAAAAAATCTTTTAAGATAAAGCAGCTATTTTAATGATGACTCATCCTGAGTTGCATTGTCTAAAATTTTTTATTTAACACACTTGCCTAATGCCAATCAAATCTAATTTAAGTAACTTTTCAAAGTTTATTTTATAAATGTCCTATCTTGACATTATGTTTTATATGAATTTTCTAACTTATTTCAGTCATCTCCTTAGTTAAAAGATTTAACTATTTTAATTTGCTTTTTAATTACCAGACCAACTGTTCAAATGCCTTGCTGCAGCCATTCAGTGTCAAAAATGTTTGGAGGGTAAAATACTTGTGTATGCTAGTCAAATGTATGCATTAAAAGCCCAATTTGTATGAAGAAATTATATAGCCATTTTACCTTTAATTTTCAAAATAAAATGCTATTTTCTTATCAAGTTCCTTAAACCTTAATACAAACTTCAAATCTGCAAGATCACGAAGTCTTACACCCCTTAACTAGGATACACTGATGTAAATCAGACCCCTGGAAATTTGGACTATAATACTTCTGACTGAACAGTCTTCCTCTTTTTTTCATTTCTATCTAGTACTTATTACTGTTTTCTATCAGGCCTGATTCTCAGACACTGACTAATTAATCTAAAATGCAGAACTAAATGATTAACATTATGAATGTGCCAGGCTTTCTGGCACATTCTTTCTATCTGTGATCAGTAGTCTGTGAATGATAAAATAGGGATATGTCAATGAGATGTCTTTGATTTGCCTCAATTGAATGTGACTTTTTTGGTGGTCCATCTTGGATTATAGGGTCTCAAACCTTGATCTCAGTGGAGTGGGAGCTGGAGACCTTCATTAATTGCCTTCTATTGATGACCATCCTACAAGCAAGCTTTTATTGTTTGAATCTTGGTGGGTGACATTCCGTCCACCTTCTGAAGTTTTTATCAAGGAGGACAAGAGCCTAAGCCCAGAATGAAAAGTAACACCCGATTCCTGTTTAAATCCCTAAATATTTGTTGGGAAATTGTAGTTATTGTTTTAATCTGGCAAAGGAGGAAAGAGAAGAGACAGGATGGGTGTTGGAAGAGAAGTACTGATGAATTAAAAATAGGACTTTAATGCATATATGCATAACATACGGCACAGGCAATAGTAGGGTGAGGCCTGGGGGAGGGGTACAGGGGGGAGGGGATCAATGGGGAAAAAGGGGGACATTTGTAATATTTTCAACAATAAAGATAAATTTTTTAAAAGAAAATAAGACCTTAAGTCTAGAGTTTATTTTCTGGTATATCATACTCATCAGCATTTATTTCTCTAAGAGTCAATTAATCCCAACATGAACCCATCATACCATCAGCCTCACACCGATCTCCATGGATGCCACTCAAGGACCTGAAGCCTTCGGCACAGTAACACTCATAACTTCCTTTAGTATTCTGGCAGTGCTGCGGACACGTCGCAAATTGCTCACACTCATTGATGTCTGTAGGCAAAATAAACCAAATATGCATCATCTGCTCCCATTCAATAGAAACCCTGCTTCTTTTTAAATCCATATTCACAAACAACGAGGACTGAGAAGACTGCAGATGAAAACAAGCAGATGCCAACATCTGTAGAACATTCAGTGTTTCCATGTTTTCCCTCCTCATTTAATCTTCCAGAAAGACTCTATGAGGTATGGACTATTATTAAACCCGAAGTCCTACACTGGTAAGCAATGACGGCAGGGTTTAAACTGAAGCAGAATGACTTTGTACAACAGCAGAACAAACTTTTCCCTTTGGGAAAGCAGATGTTGTTTATTACTACATAATTCTTTCAATCATCTGAGTACAGCACATCATAAGTTAGAAACAGTAAATTCAAATGCTAAAAGATACTTAAAATCATACTCATCACTTACCATCTTGAAGAGCTATCTTCCCACTTTATACCTTAAAATTCACTCATGTTTGACATAAGTAGGTATGTAATGAATATGTTGTTTGACTTAAGATAAAAAAAAATTAAGACTTGTGTTTGTCAAAATAATTTTGATCTCACACAGTGATACAATAAATAGCCATCATCACCGAGGCCTTCATAAATCATATCAATCTCACAGATATTACTGAGGATGAGCAATCTGCCCAGTGCCCTGCTAGGCACTGGTAAGATAGCATAGAAAAAGCACTTGGCATCCCTGAGTCTTGGGATTTTTTTCCCCAACCCAAGAATTTAATGAGGAAAATAGATCTTGACATTTGTCATCATTGGTTATATATATAATGAATTTATAACTTACAGGCGTATTCAGAACTCGTTACCCTCTTACAGTAAAATTATTGGTGCTCCTGAATATTTTAAAGAGTTAGAACCATGAGTTTAGCCCCACTGAGAGAATTAAACAGTGGTTTAATAAAAGGGAAGGAGTGGAGAACATAAAAGTACAAGTTTCTCCTAATAGGAACTGGAGGGAATATACTCTACCGTCGCAGGAGTTTCTATCAGAAATACTGGCTTTGAACCCAGATCTGCAGGAGCAGATAAATCCTCCTTCACTTAATTGGGTACAGTTTTGTTCACATAGATTTTCAGCACATGATCTTTCTTTTCCTACATCTGAAAAACAAAATCGCAGCATTACAAATGGAAGGTATAAACCAGATCAATCACAACTATCCTTTGCTAAATAGGGTAGCCAGAACGCAATAAAATGCACATTAGTTGTAAGTCATACAACTGCTATCAGAACCATAAATTGGTATACAGGGAAAGGAATTTTGCAATATGTATGTATCAAGGACTTTGCAATATTCATACTCCTTTACCCAGTTATTCCACGTTAATAAATTTTCTCTCAAGAAGGAATAAACATATTCACTATGATTTATGTGTAAGGATTATAATATTTATAATGAGAAAATCTGAAAGGCAACTTGGATGTATATTCAACAATAAGGAATAAATTACGGTGTATTGTATTTTATCAAATCTAAGGCACCTCTAATGCACTATTATTTTATGTAACACTAAAACAGAAAAGATCTAGGACTTACACTACGGCATGTTATCAATTGCAAGATGTATCCTGGTTTCAGAGATATGAAAAGTAAAACTAAACATGCATCTTAGAATCAATGTTTATGATTTATGATTATCTATCTACACAATGGGTTACTATGTAATGATTAAAATGCATGGTTTCCAATGATGCTTTGACATGGAAAATATCTATAATAAAAATGGAAAAAAGATTATAACACTAGTATAGAATATTTCTTTAAACATTTTTAAATATTAAGGAATACTTTTTGTACATGTATGTGTACACCAAATGTGGATTAGTTCTCTCTAAATTATGGGATTCAAATGATTTTCTACTTTTGATATTTCCTGGATTTTATAACTTTCATAATAAAAATAATCAACTAATAGTTTATCTTTGGAGGATGAAATGAGATAAGCCTATACTTTGAGCACAGTGTCTGGTATATAGTAAGTGCTCAGTAACAGGCGGCCATTGGCTTGACTGCACCTCAGTGCCAAAAGTAAACTTAAGAGAAACATGCATATAATCTACTTTATGTTATTGCATGCTTTCAGCCTGAATCACTACAATGAAGTACAAAAATAAGTATTTGCTTACTGCAACCCGTTTCGTCAGACTGGTCACCACAGTCGTCGACATCATCGCATGCCAGGTGCTGTGAAATGCATTGCTTGTTGCTGCACTTAAATTCATCCTCTGCACAAGGTCTAGGGGTCGGGCCTACACCTGTAATTTAAGAACAAATTAAAGTCAAAGCTTTTTCTTCTGTGAAACAAGCTGCTTCCGCCTGTGGCAGGAGCAGTTACTGCTCACCCATAAGCCCATGGTTCCCAACAGTTCCCAGGCTCCTTTGAATTATGTTGGGACCATGTAACTAGTTCTGGTCAACAGAACTATGAGTTGGAAGTGACATGTGTCATCCTGGGCTGAAGCAATCAAAAGCTCCTGTGCCCCCTGCTTTGGCAACTTTGGGAGCCATGTGGTTCAGGTGGCCTCAAACAAAAACATCAACTATCTGGCATTGACTTCACAGTCAGGGGACAAGCAATGAGGACACTGATATTGGCTGCAGAAGAGATGGAGACCTGGGTTATGCAATGGCAAAGCATTGGTGAGGCTGTTGCCCTGGAAACACTGGAAGGCAGACCATGTGCTTGCTGAATTTGTCAGTCTCGGGAAAGAGGTTGGAAAGCAGGTTAGTGATGTGCATGGCTCACCATTACGTGAGTTTGGCAAGGAAGTATACGAAAGAAATAAGGTCAGGGAAGAGGTGGTTGATTTACAAGCAGAAATGAAAGAAAGTAAAGTTCAGAAATTTGCAGTGTGGGAAAAACCAACTGCTTTTAGATCTCAAACAGTAAGAGTGAGTCTGAAGTTTAAAAGGCTTTCAGACACAAAGGCCCAGTAAAACACTAGTTGGATGAAATGACTGCCCATCTATTTTTCACAATGGCCTGAATGTAACTGACCAACAATTGAGGCAAAGGTGCACGAGGGAAACAAAGCAGAGAAATAAAGCAGATATAAGAACTATAAGGAACACTGAGTGAGGTTATTGACTGTAGAACTACTCAGTTTCTAAAAGAAATACATGACCAAATAAAACAAAATACTGTGATCAAGACTCTTAAAAAGCTCTTGGCCCCCAACCTTCTACAAGCAGGGAGTGGGCTGAGAAAGTTGTGCAGGCCCTAAGCAGGGCATATTCCCATTCCCTCTTCATCGGAGGAGGCAAATAGACAAGGAAACACTCCCAAAGGGTGGAGGCAGAGTCCGTGTGGAGCAGTGGACACAGTGCTCCTTCCAGAGCACAGTCATGATTCATCAATGGATCTCCTTCACTCCCACAGTGGGAGCCTTCATAATGTCCACAGGGTAATCAAATAACTTACTCTCCAAGCCAGCATGCTTTTGAGAGAGAAGGGGGCACTATTAATAATTCCACCAGGACAACAGACATCAATCAGGACTGTCCTGGACCAAAGTGTCACCTTAGCCCAGTGGCCATTCAGAATTGTTAGGACTGGTGACTGTAGTAAGTCTCTAATTCTTTCTTCCCCAATGTGAATGTTTATTTCTATTATACTGCTCCTGTTCTAGCACTGCCTATTGGGGAAAAGAGGGAGGGTGGGACAAATAAAGTTAATCTATTGGTTTATGGGTCTCCAGACCAAGAGAAATCACATCTGGAACTGATGATGTGACTTCTGCCCAACACTCAGAGCTCCTGGATTTCAGTTATTGATGGGATTAGGAGGTTAAGGATATTCTCTTTGTGTGGGAAGAAAAGCAAAAAGGAATTTTTAGTGGCACAAGGATACATTATAGTGGAAATAATCGGTATTCACTAAATATCTATTAACTTCCCTGTGTTTCCCAGTCTCCTTTGCAGTTTCAACCAAAGAACTGTGAGCACAAGGGACATCTGTCACTTCCAGGCCTAGGAAACTAAGAACCTGTGTGCCTCTTCCATTTCTCTCTTCTCCTGTCCCAGCAACCAGATGGCATAGTTACCGGATGAAGGAGGGTCACCTGACCTTCATCAAACTTTACATGAGTGCAAAATAACCCTCTGCTGTTGGAAGCCACTGTAATGCTGCCCATAGTGATGGCCTCCAGTGATTCCCCTGACTGATGTCCTGCGCCCTGGGAAGAATAAATGTTTACTATCTCCTTTTTCCACTCTGGGGCTTGACCACGTGCTATAAATGTCTTGCTCCATTAAAAAATGGCATTTGTAGTAGGGGAAATGGAAAAAGAAGAGGGGAAGGGGAAACTTCTAATTTTAAAAAGATATTTTTTCTCCAGGTTTTCATCCTTTTGTGCTTTACCTCGAGTAAACATGTTAATAATCACAGGGTCATCTTTATGGAAAAAAGGGAGTACAAACAAACTTGGAAATAGTGTCAAAGTCCTCCCTCACACACAGTGCTCTCTGATGGGACCTGGCAAAGAGCTAAGGCCACCTCAATGCCAGGGACAAAAAATAGAAAAATTAGGCGTTTAGCTAAAATTTCCCAGAAGATCTTCTAGGAAAAAAGTAATGGGAGTCAGGGGGAAATAATTTTCCTCACTGACTTTTTTCTAGGTAAATTAAATTGCCCAGAAAATTCATCAGCTCTCCTGTTCAGTGGATAGATTTTAAAACATTCTCAAAATGAAAAAGCATAGATTTTTTTTTTATATCAAAAACATTAAATGCAGCCAGCTTGAAACTTCTATCTCAAAATAGTCCATCATTTTTCTCTTCTGAGTAATAAATTTCATTTTAAAAAAGAATATTAGACAATCTAATGGTCTTTTCAGCTGCCCATTGAGAAGTTCACAGCCCTAGATTAACAATTAAACTCCAGGCTGAAGAGTAACCAAACCTCATCTCTGAAAACAAATAAGCCATTAATCTGTGAAGTCTGACTCAACCACTACATAGTGTTCATTTCCATTTTCTTAAGAGAAAAGAGGAAAAAATATGTATTGAATATTTAAACAAAGACAAAAAAATTAAGGGAGATCTCGATCAAATGAAATGGGAATAAGTGAGGTAGGATTGTATCTGAATGCATGTGTTTGCAGGGTCTGGTAAACAATTATGTCAGCAGAGGTCTGCAGTCATAGGTGAAGCTCAAGTCTCTACAAAACAAACTGAAATCCCAGAGGTACATTTTGCAAACTGCAGACAATTTGGGGCCCTTGGTCTCCTTTGATTTTTGCTTACAGTTTTCCACTTTCTCATCACTTCCATCTCCACAGTCATCCTTATGGTTGCACAACTCGTGACTGTAAACACAGCGATTGTTGTCACACCGGAAACGGTGTGGTGACTCACAGGGAACACTCACTAAAACAAAAGATGGAAAAACAAAAATACAGGTTAATTAAGAGTAGAACATAATATCGATATCTAAAATACTCCTATGTCCGCACCAAGCTTGCTTGATTCATCCATTCATTTGCTCATTCAATTAACCAATCAACAAATATATCTTGAGCACCTGGTGTACCCCACGCCACTGTGCTAGACATCAGAATCAATGGGAAACAAGAGAGCCACAGTCCTTGTCTCATAGAACTTTCATTCTAGCAGAGAAATGGCCTTTACGAATTAACCATTCAACTGCAACTGTGATAAGAGCCACAAAGGAGATGTGCTGTGAAAGCATCTACTGATATATCTTGGGGACAGGGGGTCAGAAGAGGCTTCACATGGGAAGATTCTGAGTCAGGAAGGACATGGTGGGTTTTGGAACCTGAATAAAAGGTCTCTGTAGCTGGAGCACAGAGTGAAAGGACAAAGGTAGCCACAAACCTGGAGGGCCAGCAGGACCAGGCATGCATGAGCTCTTATTCCAATAGTCAGGAGGCCATTGTTTGTCTCTCTGACATCAGTTGTCATGGAGCCTCCAGAGCATGAAGCCTTTTCACTAGTTTTACACAATGAAGGACTTTCCTTCCTAAATCCCCTCATCCGTTGCATTTAAAGTTGATATCTTGCCTGGCTGGGCGTGGCTCAGAGGTTAAGCGTAGACCTAGGATCCAGGAGATCGCTGTTTGATTTCCAGTCAGGGCACATGCCTGGGTTGGGGGCTCAATCCCCAGTCTGGGGCGTGCAGGAGGCAGCCAATCAATGACTACTCTCATCATTGATGTTTCTATCTCTCTCTCTCCCTCTCCCTTCCCCTCTCTGAAATCAATAAAGATATATTTTTTAAAAAATAAATAAGGCCTATATCTCACAATCAAACCCTGACTCACTTTGTTATCCAGAGTTAGACCACTAGCTGATGCTGGTGCATCTATGAGGGACCCAAGGGTAGGACCCAGGTCCCTTTCTTATTTGGTACAGGGGCATGGTCCTCTATGCATGTACCAGGAATTCAGGGAATTCAACACACGTGTGTGTTCTTCTTTCAAACGGAAGACTTGGGCTGTTTGATTTCCTTCTGCCTTTGTACTACACACAGGGGCAAGAGGAGAGACATATCATGATATTGCTTGGGGGGGGGGGG